GTGATTGGGGAGCGCCACTGGCAGAGACCATGCGTGACCAGCACACCGCTTCTGACAATAGCCGTCCAAACAGCGTGTGGTCGTCGTCCACGACCAGGTCCACTGGAGAAGAGGAACCCGCGATGAGAAGAAGAAATACCTTGCCAGCCTCCTGTCGAGAGCGGCCCACGCACTAGGACAAAGCCTCTCTCACCAGCCAAGACCCAGCGTCCCTCACCACACCTGCTCCGTCTTCCCCAGCCCAGCCCTCATCCCTCAGCCCAGCGCCTCGTCCTCAGCCCCGCAGTCATCACAGCCACACAGTCCAGATGAAAACCACTGGCAGTCACGACAAACCAACACCAACAGCACTGGAAGAGTGAAAGCGACATTCCGCAAATTTGGTCATGCATTGTCGCGGTTTAGTAAGAAAGCATCTGAATCTTCCACAACAGAATCGGAAGAACAGGTGATGGAGACGAGTCAGCAATGGAGGTGAAACCATGGCAGTCCCAACCACCACAACACATCAACAGCCGTCTGACAGGTCGTCCAGAGCAGCTCCCAGCAGATGGTGACACGGAGTCCTTGCTGTCAGTCATCTGAGAGGCCAAGAGTACATCTCCCTCATCAACATGCCCAGTGACTCTCATGAGATGCTCCTGCGACGAGACGGTGGTGTATGTCGTGGACAGCGGACGGACAGCCCGAGTTCATGGAAGCCATGGCACGTGTTGTTACCCTGGCGAGATTCTGTCGGCCTGTGTGTTGGTGATGGACTGTCACAGTCGCTGGACGAACACCCTCAGATTGGCTACTGGCGCAGGGGCAAGGCCGTCTCCAAGCCCTACCGCTGCATCCGAACCAACGAAGAGAACCTGAAGAAGTTCATCCAAACCATCAACACGTTCACCTCCAAAACGAAGGGGCAGCCCTCGAAGCTGCTCTTCCTCGGCACCCACCGCGACCAGGCACACAAATGTCTCCCCGAAACGGTGGCAGACAAGAACGAGCGACTGAAGAAGCTTATCCCGGCAAAGTTTGAGAAGCAGATCATCCAGCTGGACAAGAAGACACTCATCTTCGAGATCAATGCCCTGAATCCAGACGACACGGACAGGAAGACGGCGGAGAAGGTTCGGAGCTACATCTTGGAGCAGTGCCCGGCAAAGGAAGTGGAGATCCCGGTGAGATGGGACGCCTTTGAGGAGAAGCTGCGAAGCCTGGCCAAGGGTGTGGGTAGGGAGGTGATGAGTCACGAGGAATGCTGGCGTGTGGCGCAGTCTCTGGGACTGGAGGCGGACTCCTTCAACGAAGCCCTAGACTTCTTCCATAACTGGAGCCTCATGTTTTACTTCCGCGACATCCTCCCCGAAGTGGTGTTCATCGACCCACAAGTCATTCTGGACAAGGTCTCGGAGCTGGTGGTGTTCATGTTTGAGCTGCGAGAGCCAGAAGAGGAAGACAAGACGTCACCGACGAGGCATCAGCCGCAGCAGTCAAAGGGCCAGACTCCTGGACCAGACACTGAACAAGCCAGAGCCAACCTCCACCAACACAGACGGCACGCTCCCAAGAAAGCAGCCACCGACCTTTCCATCCCAGACAGCAGACGAGTCTCTCCTCCCTCAGGCTGGCAGCAGTTTGGGAAGTTTGGACACGTGACAAAGGCCTTCCTGGAGGACATGCGATTCAGCAGCCACTACCACCGTGGGATCTTCAGCTGCGAGGATCTGATCCACCTTCTGGAGGAGCTGCTGGTGTTGCCAAACTGGAGAGTGAGGAGGGTCCAGAGACCTGGTTGATGCCAAGTGTCCTGAGACATGTGGCGGAGGAGAAGGTGAAGGAAGTGTGCGTGTCGGCCGGTCCCCTAGTGGTAGACTTCCCCGACGGAGGTCCCCAGAACGGAATCTTCTGCTCACTGATGGCCCACGTCCTGTCTCCCCAGCACCCTCACCCCCACCCCTGGAAACTCTGCCTCTCCTCCAACCAGCCAACATGTCTCTATCGCGACTGCATCGAGTTCCATGTTCCAGATTTCGGTTCCGTCACTCTGGTGGATCGCTTCCAGTACTTCGAGGCCCACGTCTCAGACACCACCAGCAAGGAAGAGGAACAGAAACTATGGCAACACGTCGACAAATCCATCTTCAACGGAATTGAAAAGGTGTCGGACATGCTGGGCTACTCCAACAACAAGCCACGGCCAGCCATCATCTGTCCAAAGAGTCACTCAGACAAGGCCCACACAGCCTACATCAAGGACGGAAAATGGAACTGCACCAGCGACATGAAAATCCGCGGCACTTTGGCAGAAATGGACAACTTTCCCTGCTGGTGTGAAAAACCACGTAAGCCTTGTCTTTAGCACATACCTCCAGGAAACTCGTTTTTTTACTGTAAGAAGTGTTCCAATGGAGTTAAATCAATGAGTACATACATAACTATGGGGGTGGCCTAGATAATTTCAGGGTTAAGATGCCAGCTAAAGTGTAACCCTTGGATGTGTGTACTTGTACTGCAGGTGAGGAGCAGTCTGCAGTGTCAGTGTTATCCAGTGGGCCATCAGCCACTGCCGAGCCACCCAGAGCCACTTTAGATGCCACACAGCAGTCCACTCCAGACACACAACAGTCGACAGAGTCCCAGTCACTGCCTCAGCCCAGCTACCACTCCACTTTAGGTATAGAGTTGGGAATGTGTGCGCCAGTGTATGTTACTACAGTGGAACCTGAAAAGCACTAAAGTGCAAACCCTCGGCGCAAAACGCACATGTTGTAGCGTTGATGTAAGCTACGTATATAGGCTGGGCCATGAGTCGCCCTAACACAGGCTAGCTGCATCAGTGGGTAGTGAGCGGTTAGAGCAATGCTGGACTGCACACACATCTCCACTATACACTGAACCTGGTCGACGTATGCCACGCCGATATCGTGTTTAGACACACTCGCTTTGCCTTCCTCGCGCTTCCAAAATTATGCGCATGCTCTGGCAAAACACTGACATGGCGCGTGCGTGCCAGCGTACGTGCAGTTGGCTTTATCGCCTGTTTTCACGCCGTATCTCTGGAACGCAGTCGTTTGAGGAAAATCACCTTTTAGTTTTCAAGCTGCTAGTATCACTCATAGGCCGCCTCATAGCCTGTAGTACCAGAATAAGTGTAGACAGACAGATGGACAGACCAAGTACTGTACCTTTGCTGCGCATGCGCGCCGAGGGTTAACAATAATGACTGATCGTCAAGTTTGGTTGTTATACTCTACCTACAAGTTGGACATTCAGGCTGGCTAGTCGATAGTGGTTGAAGATTGAGACGGACCAACATTTAGCTACCCTTCCTCCATTTCGGGCATGCACATTATGTGTGCTCACTGCATGTATGTGCTGCATCCTCTGCAGTGGGACCAGATACCAGTTATGAGTCCAGTGGCCACATTGAAACAGTATCCAGTACTTTTGGTGATTCGAAAAAAGTGGATACTTGTGTCTTAGAAATTGGTGAAATGCCAGTACTCGGGACGACAAACAGCAACACTCTCTGAAGACCTCTGTTTTCCTAGTATCTCAGCTATTTCCTTCCTCAGGGAACTCTGGCCACCTGCAGAAAATTCATGGTGTTTCACTCCCTCAGTGAGAGAGAAGAATCAGAGAAAACGGTTCAATCTACTGTGGAGAGTGTCCTATACCAGAATGTATGACTCAAACCTCCACCCTGTATGACTGCACTAATAAAGGAATGACGTATGTTGATGAAACCAATGACGTCATTTTGGAAATCCAGAGGAGCCATTCCTGAGGAAGAGAGACTCAACGGTTGATGTTGGAGTGGCTCTCTTTGGCCCATTCAGTTCCCAGAAGGTCTTAGACCTGTGTCTCCTGTGTTCTGGGCCTGTGTTCGTGACATAGCAAATTCCAGTGCTGAAACAGTCACAGTCACTATCCCTCACTTCCTTGATCTTGACAATGAGGACAAAATGGAATTTCTGGGCCTCACTTTCCTGAAAGCACACCACAAGAAAAAACTCCTGCGGGACTGTATGATTCCAGCCATTAACAGAGGTGCGAAATGGACTTTAACACTCTCAGAACACATGGCATTCTTGAACCTTGCATTTTGCAGTCTCGTGTCTGCTGCAAACTTCATACCAAGGAGTACAGAGTTTTGCATCACATCTGTTGTTCCACATTGTCCAGGTCCAGTTGGTAAGTATGTCGGGGGTTGTTTCTTTGTCACCTTTCTCAATCTGAAGACTTGTCTCGAAAAAGTTGAAACTCTGATTAATAAAATGTACAGAGAGGGATACAAGACGCGGAGGGTGCCCTTTAGGTTCAAAAGTGACACAGAAGATCCTGCACTTGAGATGACCTTCTCTCAACCAAAACATGGTCAAATTGGATGGAAAGGAAAGGACAAGGTAAATGATTAAAATTTTTCATACACAGTGTTTTTTAAATTACTATAATGCAGGTTTTTCGTAGCGAAGTGGATTTCTTTGTGAAGGACAATATTTCTGAGGGGGAACTACTGTGTCTACAGAGTGATGAGTTTTATCCTCCGCGATTTGAAGTGTTCTTTGCCTCTTTCAAGGAGAATGCAACACTCAGTGATGGCCAGATTACCTTCAGTGGAGCCACTAGTGGCATCAAGTTCAACTTAGACTTGGACCTACCTGACTTTACAAGTCCTCCTGTTACCTCTCCTGCAGGTAAAATTGAGTACACGAATGGAAAGACAGGCTAAAGAACCATCCTGAATACCTTTGACTATAGCTGGAGAGTGCCACCCTCAATAGTTACTGTAAAAATGGGATTGCCTAGATATACTATGCATGGCATATGCGTCACGTGTCCAAACTTTTCAAACTGCTGCCAGCCTGGGGGGGAAGAGGTTTGTCTGCTGCATTTGGTTGTCACATTTATTCTATATTATATACAGGCAACCGGCAGCAGTCCACAGTGTCAGGAGCAGTACCAGTCACCACTACACACTCCCAGCCACCTCCTACCACTTCCCAACAGTCCACACTAGGTATGTGTAATGCATGCATTAAAACAGTGTGTTCATATTTTGCATCCTTGACCTTTATCTAACCAGTTAGCCGATATTGCTCGTTCAACTTTTGTGTAGATATTGATGACTATTTTGATGTGGTATCTGAACTGGATGACGTGGCTCACGTGTGGAAGTCACTGGGAGGAGCTCTCAGACTACGACCTTCAACTCTCGCCAGAATCAAAGCTGATCACCAACAAGACTCTAGCAGCTGTCTGGAAAAGATGGTGACCATGTGGCTGAACCAGTCTTACAACACGGAGCGTTTCGGACTGCCTTCATGGAAGATGTTGGTGGAGGCAGTGGCCCATCGCAATGGGGGGAACAACAACGCCCTTGCCATACGCATTGCCACCAAGTACAAAGGTCAGTGTGAGAGAGATGTATATACATCCGTCCGTACTCAACCTTTGGTGCACTCTAGATAGAGATATTATTGCCACGCATTATTGGGATATGTATGTATATGTTGCAACAGATTGGTTGGATATCCAAATGACGTGTACACATGTAGGATTGTATAGGCTGATAAAATCCCTTAGCTTCATACATGTCCGGTTGCCTAGGGATATCCAACAAGTATGCAGTATGTATGCATGTAGGACAGTACTCTATGCATGCTGTCTGTCAAAACATTATCCATGCTGCTGCTTTCCTTCTGTACATGATGGATTCCAGTATGTATGTAGCAGATATGTCAGTATAGTCCTATATGTCAATGCAGAATTATGTGACAGGGCACTTGCACATACCGTAATGATCACATTATTTAAATACACGCAAAATACGTGTGAAATATTGAACTGCCACTTTTGCTCACAAAACGTGTTGCATTCCTCTAGTAACAGTAGTTTAGACGTCGGCAGATCAAAATTGACCAATCAGATGCGTAAACGTGGATTCTAAATCCCGTATTTTCCAAGTGCGTGTTCCATGAGATGCCCGTCAAAAAATGGCGTATTCGATGGGGGTGGTGTGGCAAGTTCCGCGCACAGAAGAAAGAACAAGGAAACTCGCTATGTCGCTGAGAGCTCGCCGCGACGACTTAAACTCGCTTATCCGATGCTTCTTCAATGAAAGGCCTCTCATACGATGCAAAAATAAACTAAACTGAAGACCCCTTTTTAGCTTCCCCCGGCAAGAGCGAGTTTCGGAAGACGGCCAGACCTGGACGGATTTTAAGGCCGGCACGCCCTCCAGTATAAACAGGTTATACTTGCTTGTCCTGGAAATACACGATTAGACGGCCATCGAGCCCTTAGTAGCGTCTTCGCTGCGCTCAGACAGCTACAGCTCAGGGCCCCTCGTGCGTCTAATCGACGTATTTCCGCATTGACGCGCAGTATAACCTATATATATAGAACAGCCGTGTGACTTTAATAGGTAGGCAGTGCCTACTATTCCAAAAGTATGAACAGTACTCCAATGGCTGCATACTTCCCTCCTCCCACAGTGCCAGCTCCAGCCCAGAACTGAGTCTCAGGACATCCAACATTCTCTCCAGACCTCCTCCAGTCTGCTTGGACTCTCTCTTTGACACCCTCGGATTTTGATTGCCTCGGATTACATAATAACATTGACGTATGGACTCTGTAGCTATTAGATACTGTTCTTAGTTGTGAGGTTAAATTTTCAACACAACACAGCACGCATAATTGGCAAGTGGAGCAAGTCTACCTAATCGTCTTTTTCCACATTACAGTTGAACCTCTGATAAGGGACCCTCCCTCCGAAATAGGGACACACCTCTTACAAAGGACACTTGTTTCAACACCCATGCTAATACTGTAGTGTATTATTTGACCCCGAGATAGGGACGACCTCTCTACAGGGACAAAATCGTTGGCCCCATAGTGTCCTTGTTCGGAGGTTGTTCCACATTATATGACTGATCACTATGTGCACATATACAGTAATGTAGTGAAGGAGCGTATGTCACGTGTGACTCTCGCATTCGCTCACAAAAATGTGTTGCCTTCATTCTACGTAGTTATGATTCTAATTAGGAGCACCACATGCCCTTTGTGAGCGATTCATGGCTCGTGAAGTGCAGATGTTGGGTAACAGACAGACACAGCACGACAATTACAGTGAACCCTCGCTGCACATGCACGCGATGTTAATAGGGAGCCACCACATGCCCCTTGTGTGCAGTTGGTGTAACACATAAAACACCATGTAGGGGAGAAATCTATTGTTCTTTGTCCTGTATTATATTGATTTCTGTGGTCTACGTAACGGTTACGTGCATAATATATAATAGGTATACCTTGTGGTAGCATATGATGGCATAGACTGCTGCCATGGTGGATGAAATGGTGTCCATATCAAATGAAGCACTCAGCATTTGATCAAAATATCACCTGCAGAGAGTGTAAATGTCACTAAAAATGGGAACTCTTGCACTGGCCTATCGTTTAGTCCCAAATATAGCCCACTAGTTGACTTTTGTGCTTAGCCTTTGCCGTTCTAAGCAGTAGACCGGCGCGGCTGCTAGCTTGCCATGCCGATAGGATACTCTTAGCAGCAGGACGCGACCGGTATGGCACGACGGGCAATGCGGCGGACGTAATTATGACCTAGCCCAACTCGAACAACCCCTCTGCCTGCTAGACACACCTGCTTGTAGAACACACCTGCCTGCTAGAACACACTGCTGCATAGAACACTGCCTCTAGCTAGAACACACCTGCCTGGCTAGAACACACCTCTGCTTGCTAGAACACCCCTGCCTGGCCACCCACACTCTAGAACACACTGCCTTGCTAGAACACACAGCTGCTTGCTAGAACACACTGCCGTGCTAGAACACCCGCTTGCTACGAACACCCCTGCCTGCGAGAACACACCTGCCTTGCTAGAACACCCACCTGCCTGCTCTAGACACACACCTGCCTGGCTGAAAAGGACACACCCCTGCCTTGCTAGAACACCCCTGCTGGCTAGTTAGGCACCACTGCCTGTGCTAGATTATACACCTACCTCCATCTAGAACACACCTGCCGTTGCCTAGAACAACCTGCTGCTAGAACACACCTGCCTTGCTAGAACACACCTGCCTTGCTAGAACACCCCTGCCTTGCTAGAACACACCTGCCTTGCTAGAACACCCCTGCCTTGCTAGAACACACTGCCTTGCTAGAACACCCTGCCTTGCTAGAACACACCTGCCTTGCTAGAACACCCTGCCTTGCTAGAACACACCTTAGGAAATGTCGTAGTACATCGGTGGAAGAGTCTGGGAGGAAAGTGGGGAGGCCCGCTCGGGCGTCGGCAGGAAGCCACACCCTCAATACCCTCTAGACAGAGGATCCGGACCTCAGGGCCCATAGTGGTGTAGACCGGTCTCCAGTAGATCCATGAAGGGAGGAACAACTGGTGGGGAATTGTGCGCTTCGGGACAGCTCTCACAGGACATAGTGACTAGATGTAGAACTGGCGACATAGAGGACGGGAACTGAGGGGGAAGGAGTGTGTGTGAGTGGTGGTGGTAAGAGAGAGGGAAGGCACAAAAATTGAGCTATTTGATATATATATAGCACAGTTCATAATGTGACAGAAAGGAGAGACTTGATAGTAGAGTCAATGCAAAAGAACGGGCTTGTGTAGGGGAAGGAAGCAGAGGTATAGCAGGGAGGGTAAGTATAAGGCTAGGTAGAAGCGTATTGGAGTGAGTGTGAGAGAGGCTAGGTACATAGTAGCGGAGGAGAGGAGAGAGAAGTACAGGAGTTCTGCTGAGTGTAAACAGTGGAGACCTGAGGCATTTCATCGGTCATGTGAGAGGAGGATTGGGTTCCAGTCCGGACTACGACACGTCAACTGGCGTGCACCGACTCTCCATCTGGGTAGACAGACAGAACACTGGCACACATGGTGTACCAAGCATCTGGGGCGAGCATTACATCGTCGTGGAACCCCTCCAATCTGGACCAGTCGGGATCGTGACGTGCCTCATGTCAGTATACACAGTGATGTCTGATGCTAGGTACGTGCCATCCTATGTATACTAAGTACTACGGTACTGAGTGATATAGGTAGGCTTGCTTCGCTGGATACAAAATGCTTAAAATGGTGGAGTGCTTCTTCTGGCACAGTAGGAGCGGAGGAAAACTGCAGTTAGATATAATATAAATAGATTATATTAGTTGTCCGTTACTGAGTTCCTAGTATATTGGAGAAAGAAAGAGTTGCGCTGCATGTGATACTAGGTGTGAAGCCAAAGGAATGTGCCCATGGCCTATTTTTGTCTGTGCTACAGTCTCTTGCAACCACTTTAGCAAGAGGAAGATAAAGATGCAATACAGTAATAGGGCTGAGGAGCTCCAGCTCCAGAATAGTAACAAGGATGTGACTGAGGGAGCGTCTGGAGAATGAACTCTGGTTCGTGGAGGATAGGAGCTGTGGAGAGGCCGCGACTCCGGTCGCATAGTACACGAGGAGCTTTCACAAAACATACTGATTCACTGTAACTGTAGGCTGAGGCACAGCGCACTACGCGCGCAGCGCATTGGCTTTTGTGGGTGGGTCGCCCTCGTGCTTACACACACCGTTACACTAGTTACGCCGACAGCGGGTCGACGTCCGCCGGCCGCCTGTGCCGGCTCTGAGCGCGGCTTCTTCAAAATGCTGTCAGGGAAGCCGCACGCGTCTCTCTCTCCCACAGACAGTAGCTAACCCAGTAAAATGGCCCAGAGCACTCTGAGATGGAAACGAAGTAAGTATATTGGCCACAGTTCAGTGACTAGATAATAGCTAGTGTAATAAAAGCGTAGGGAGAGTTGCTGCACTTTACATAAAAGGGTGTAAAAAAACGTCATTGATTTTATAGAAGTTGGGTAGGATGATCCCAGCTGCCTCATTTAGCAAACTTTGAAAGGCCTGTTGACTCAGCCTCCCTGCCCAGTAAACTAAACCACACCCCTCTGTAGTCCCGTGACCATTCTGAGAGGCCGTGTGTCATGCCCCACCCACATCAGGTGCGCAAGCACCTCACAAAGGGTCTGATCCAAGGACAGAGGAGGTTGTGCACACGTCATCGCTTGCATCATTCGCCAACGCAACCCAGTCAACCCGCTGAGTCAGCACTTTCTTCAGAATGGCACACTGGCGTTTGCAAGGCTACGAGTGTTCTCCGTGGTACACACTTGGACATATAAACAATCGAGAGATAGCAAGGTCTTGGCCCGCCTGAACACCAGCTAGAGCCACTTCCTTTTGCAGCTACGATACTTGATTACATTATAACCGCATGCGCGGACAGCTTAGGAATGTTGATTGTGTGCAACCTCCTCTGGTCACGTGCATTACACTATTCATGAATGAAAATTAATGAGCTAGTTCAGAGTCTATATAGAGTGTTGTATATTGGAGAAAGAGTTTCCACATGTGCATAACAGGTGTAAAGCAAAAGGAATGTGCCCATGGCCTATTTTTGTCTGTGCTACAGTCTCTTGCAACCGCTTTAGCAAGAGGAAGATAAAGATGCAATACAGTAATAGGGCTGAGGAGCTCCGCTCCAGAATAGTAACAATGTGACTGAAGGGACCAGTCTGGAGAATGAACTCTGGTTCGTGGAGGATAGGAGCTAGTGGAGGCCGTGACTCGGTCGCAGTACAAGAGGAGCTTTCACAAATTTGAGGATGCGCTGCAACTTGTTTTCTCAGGCCATGGGCCACCACGCGCGCATGCGCATTTGGTTTTTGTGGGTGGGGCTCGTATTAGTTGTTTACTGCTGTTCACACACACTACCTACACGTCGAGGTAGACCGTCCGGCCGGCCGGCCCTGTGCCGGGCTGAGCGCGGCCTTCATCTGCTGTCCAGGAAGCCGCCGAGTCTCTCTCTCCCACAGACAGTAGCTAACCCAGTAAAATGGCCCAGAGCACTCTGAGAGGGAAGCGAAGTAAGTATATTGGGCACAGTTCAGTGACTAGATAATAGCTAGTGTAATTGGGTGAAGTGTAGGGAGAGTTGCTGTACTTTACATAAAAGGATGTAGACCTAAAAAAGGACAATCTTTCATTGATTTTATAGAAGTTGGGTGGGATGATCCCAGCTGCCTCATTTAGCAAACTTTGAAAGACCTGTTGACTCAGCCTCCCTGCCCAGTAAACTAAACCACACCCCTCTGTAGTCTCGTGATCATTGTGAGAGGCCGTTTGCCCCACCCACATTACATGTGCAAGCACCTCACAAAGGGTCTGGTCCACGTACTATTAACGAAAGAAAATTAATGAGCTAGTTCAGAGTCTATATAGAGTACGGACAGGGGGGTAGGACAAGATCACGTGTGAGCAATATTTGCTGAATCAGCACTCCCGAATGTATGGGCTCTCTCGTTCAACCAGTCTTCAAGGAATTGTCGGCAATCTAGGCCGTGGCTGAAGTTTTTCTCTTGACAGGGTGAAGGAGACACCTTAGAAGATCAAAAATGTTGGTGGAACCACAACTCGTTTTTTTGCTAGCAGCTTATGAATGGGAGTGCCTAAGCTTGCGAAGCGTTTAGCATCTGGCCTTGACTTTCCACTCCCGTCTACTACCATTTGACTCAATCCAAGGTACGTCAGGCTATTCAAATGTTCCAATTGCTGCACAAATACAGCAAGCTATGAGCAGTAGACAGTGGATAGCATTAGGCCAAGCCACGCACCAAATTGTTGTTGCCTAGCTCCTCCACACATACCTTTGTAGAATTCCGTGAAGAAAATCCGCTAAGAACTTGTGCTTTGTGTCGATCATACAACGGTTTCTTGTATATAGGAGCACTTTTCGATAGCCTGTTTGTCTTGAGACTTGGTAGCGGTGTTTTGCAGGGACGTGGGGACGAGGACGAGTACCAGTCCATGTCCTCAGACTTCCCTCTCTCTTTAGTAAACCATATCGCTTACTATGCATACTTCCAATACAACGCTTATGAGCATTGGCATGTATGGAACACGCGTTTTTGTCATGTGGTTCTTACGTAGAGTATATACGGATGCTATACATCACTACATGTGTGTACTCCATGGCAGGTGTTCCCCTCACTACCTCCAATGTACTGGCAGTAGTGAGGGAGGTGAAGAGGTGGTGGGGTGGATTGGGGAGTGAGTCATTGACACACTGGCTCAACATACCTGAATCAAAGCAGAAAGAGATCACGGCCAACTTCCCAGATGAGATGGATCAAAAGCAGCAGGCTATATCCTACTGGATCAACACCGACCCTCTAGCCAGCTGGAGGAGACTCATTATTGCCCTGGACTGGATGAGAGAAACAGAGCTGGCCGAATCTATAAGATCCAATGCCGAACCTCTAACTGGTATGTGTATCCATAGCAACCAACATGTTTTGCTGGCTAATCACCATGAACATTCTAAAAATTAATTGGGGTGCATTCACCCACGCAGCAGCTCATGCACCCCAAAGAGCCTGTTACCATTGCACATGTTCAAGTTTCTACTACATACATACATATATGTGTATTATGCCTACATTCACGTGCTTACAATAATTAAACAGACTGTGGCAGTGGAGAAAATATTGTATGGAAATCTGCAAAATTTAGTGCTTATATACTGACACAGATTCCTTTAATACCTGCAACAATTGTTTGTAACTTACATGCACCTACAAATGATGGGGAACAGGTGGTATCATGGCCAGTCCAGTCTGTAGACTGGTGAAGGTGTTAGTCATTTTGTGATTGTTACTGTCACTCCTGCCCCTCCTCCCTCCAGATGACAGCCTCACTCCACACTCTGTAGCACGTGCTGTGGCTACTGTGAGAGAGTTCTGGGGTGGACTACTGTGGTTTCTTGGTGTTCCTCGGTCAGTGATGAATCAGATCAGAGACAGTAGATCATACTCAAGTGAAGAAGAGAAGAGAGTGGCTGGTCTGCAGTACTGCCTCCAGAATGTACCTGGTGTGTCGTGGGGGGGGATAGCTGGTGTGTTATGGTACGTGGAGGAGCACACAGCCCTGGAGACTGTCAGACAATACCTACCACACACACATGGTCAGTATGAGAATGTACATGTGCAGTACAGTACTGTAATACTCTGTCCATGTGTAGGTACATTTAGTATGTGTTAGCCATAGTTTGTGAGTTTGATTGCTGTAAATAGCCGAGATGTGTAAGAACCCACCCACTCTCTGTAATTCATCATTGACAACATTATTCATGACACTGGCTTACATACTACAGTATATAGTTGGTGGTGTGTTGATATGACAAGAAATTGGTGGACTGGTCATGTCAGTTATGAATGTTGTATGAAAGTGTTTCTCTGATCCTCACAGATATCAGCCTCACTCTCTCCAACCTGACGTCAGCTCTGGACTCATTACCTGACAAACTGTGGACGGACTTTGGTCGGGAGATGGATGTGCCACTGTCCATACTGAATAATATAGTGTCTCAGTTGTCCAGTGATAAGGAGATGAAGGCAGAACTGCTCAGAGTAATTTCCACTGAACATCCTCACCTGACATGGGAGCATGTGTCAGATGCCCTCTACCGGCTAGAGAATGGAAAGTATCACCATGTTCTAGAGAGAGTGCAGTCACTATTCCCCACTGGTGAGCATCTCTCTCATCTTCTCTTTCTCCACTTACCAACTTTTGCCCTCTATCTTTTGTCAACACATGTATATATGCATGCATATATTAGTTATGTAATATCAACCTAAAGCAAGTTCAAGTGAGCTAGCTCCTGAATCAGATTGCAGCAAAGACTAGTAAACCTTGATATATAACAAGATGTATGAAGCTGGTTGATATGCCGACTCCATGGTAACTATAATTATACATGGAAAACCTTGTGCCAGTGGCCTTGCTGCACGTGGGGTGCCACAATGCTGGGCCCTCCATTTTTTACTGCAAATAGTTACCTGTATGAGCTGGGCACTGTGCTTCCCTGGTGTGACGAGGCTTGTAAGTGGATTACCACACCAATCCAGTGCCTATGTAGTTCAATCCCCATTGTAATTCTGCAAGCTCTGTTCCGAGCTAACACTGAAAGCATGTGTGTACTGTACTGCAGGCAACCAGCAGCAGTCAGCAGTGCGAACAGCAGCAACCAGACCACCTCCCACCTCTCCAGATAGTACACAACAACTAGGTATGTTTTTCCATCTTTATACCTCCTTAGAGTGATAGTGATATACGTACAACTGTACCCCTTTTAGAGCCGTCACATATATATATGTATAGACAATTCCCACATTGAAATAACTAGGTAGGCTTCCTTTGCTCACCAATTTCTATGTACAACTGCACCTTTTACCACACTTCTCATCTTGTCCTCCAGACATCAATGACTTGTTTGAAGTCCACTCTGAGCTCTGCAATGTTGCTGCAAAGTGGAAAGGTCTGGGTCTGGCCTTGGGACTCCATCATTGTACCATTTGCACCGTCATGGAAAACTGTCACGATGCTGAGGACTGTCTCAGGGAGGTCCTGAGCCTGTGGCTGAATAAGGTTGACGACACTCGGAGGTTCGGAGCTCCGTCATGGCAGCTGCTTGTGGCTGCAGTGGCCCACCGTGCCGGGGGAAACAACCCCGCCCTCGCCGACACCATCGCTCACAAGCACAATGGTAGGTTCTCTAGTGTACAATATGACTGCTATGAGATAATGGGACAACCGGGGGGAAACTGGAGAATTCGTTTTTAGTACTGTTTGATAGTGTTATCTTTGCTGATATTTTTGTCTTTTATGGCAAACATACACATTGCCACCAAGTGCAATGGTCAGTGTGAGAGAGATGTATATACATCCATCCATACTCACAGTGACCAGTACAATGCTACCTTTGGTGCACTCTAGATAGAGATATTATTGCCACCCATTATTGGGACTAAAGTCCAGTATGTATGCATGTAGGACAGTACTCTATGCATGCTGTCTGTCAAAACATTATTCATGCATGCCTGCCTTTTCCTTGTGTACATTATTGTACTCCAGTATGTATGTAGCAGTATAGTCAGTATAGTCAGTATATGTCAATGCAGGAATTTATGTGACAGGCACTGCACATACCATAATGATCTGCATTATTCTAAATATACGCAAAACATGTGTGGAATATTGAACTGCTCACTTTGCTCACAATAACGTGTTGCATTCCTCTAGTACAGTAGTATATAGAACAGTCTGTGAATTTAATAGGGTAGGGCAGTGCCTACTATTCAAAAAGTATGAACATACTCCAAATTGCTGCAATCCTTTCCCTCCTCCCACAGTGCCAGCTCCAGCCCAGAACTGAGTCTCAGGAAATCCCAACATTCTCCCCAGAACCCCTCCTCCAGTCTGCTAGGACTCTCTCTTTGGACACCCCTCGGATTTTGATTGCCTCGGATTACATAATAACATTGACGTATGGACTCTGTAGCTAGTTAGAATGCTGTTTCTTAGTTGTGAGGTTAAATTTTCAACATAACACAGCAAGCATAATTGGCAAGTGGAGCAAGTCTACCTAATCGTCTTTTCCACATTACAGTTGAACCTCCGATAAGGGACCCTCCGAGATAGGGACAACCTCTTTACAAAGGATACTTGTTTCAATCCCATGCTAATACTGTAGTGTATTATTTGACCTCCGAGATAGGGACGACCTCTCTACAAGGGACAAAATCGTCGGCCCCATAGTGTCCCTTGTTCGGAGGTTCCACATTATTATACGGACGCTTTTGCACATACAGTAATGTTTTACGTGAAGGAGCATATGTCACGTGTGACTCTCGCATTCGCTCACCAAAAATTAATGTGTTGCGTTCATTCTACGTAGTTATGATTCTGATTAGGGGGCACCACATGCCCTTTGTGGAGTGATTCATGGCTCGTGAAGTGAGATGTTGGGTAACAGACAAACAGACAGACAGACAGACAGACACACACGACAACTACAGTAACCCTCACTGCACGCCGAGGGTTAATTAGGGAGCACCACATGCCCTTTGTGGAGTGATTCATGGCTTGTGAAGTGCGATGTTGGGTAACAGACAGACAGACAGACACGCACGACAACTACAGTAACCCTCGCTGCACATGCACGCCGAGGGTTAATTAGGGAGCACCACATGCCCTTTGTTGCAGTTGTGTAAGCATAGAAAACATGTAGGGGAGGAAATCTTTGTTCTTTGTCTGCGACATTTTGTGGGTGTAAACCTACAAAAAAGTAATAAGCAAAAGTTGTGCCACAAACTTTCCCACCAAACTGCAAGTACATATGTCCTCCCTCACATGATTACAAGTCTGACTATGAAATAAAAAGCATACATCCTACAGAATGGTATATGACGCCAGATAGTTGCTATAATGGTTAAAAAAAAGAAAACAACTGATGATGAAACGTGTGTGTCGTCATTTGTAACACAAGAAACCTTTCACAAACGGTAGAAACTGCTCGAGGTTCTTTCTGAAAGTGATTTTGGAAGTTCTCTTGGAGTCCAGAGGGAGAGAGGGAGGAGTGAGGAGAGAGAAGGCCTCCATGAGCCGGCTCTGGTTCTGAAGATCTGACTGGGAGGAGATGAGGGAGTTGGCTAGGGACAGGTAGCTTTCCTGGTGAGGGGGGAAGGGGTTAAAGCTGAAAATTTAAAGATTTACCTGGAAATGGATTATAAGTGCATGGTGGAAGTGCTGCTTTCTAGTATGTTGGAGAAAGAGTTTCCACATGTGCATAATAGGTGTGAAGCAAAAGGCATGTGCCCATGGCCTATTTTTGTCTGTGCTACAGTCTCTTGCAACCTCTTTAGCAAGAGGAAGATAAAGATGCAATACAGTAATAGGGCTCAGGAGCTCTGCTCCGGAATAGTAACAATGTGACTGAAGGGACCAGTCTGGAGAATGAACTCTGGATAATATTATAGGAGCTAGTGGAGGCCGTGACTCGGTCCCAGTACAAGAGCTTTCACAAATTTGAGGCAGACAGCCGAACCGCACTTGCTTATTTTGAGGGGAAGTAGGCGTTCACTAATTCTAGGCATGTTAGCCACGTGGTTTGGCCAAGTAACCGCATCGTACTTGCTCTGTGCTAAATTTAGCCAAGATAGTGTTACGCAGTGGAGAGTTATAAAAAGAACGCAGTGCATGCGGTAGCTCATTATAGGCTGAGCCACTTTATGAATAAATTCATCAAAAATTAAATCTCTACGTAGAAGCATTTCTGCGCGCAGGTGTGGTATAATAATAATCACGTCAGAGTTTGTTGCAGTAAACAAAAACATAGTTTTTAAAATACTGTGGTGCTATTCTTCAATAGGTTTTCTAGGGTAGTTGACGGTCCAATAGCCAGAGGTGAAGTGATCAATCTCCTTTGGTACCTGATTCTCTCTCACCTTCTTCTCCAGAGAAAACGAATACGAGAACTACAATCAGAGAGAGTAGTAACACATGGAATAAAAAACCTATAATTATACAAAGTGGCTTTACCAGCTTATCAATGTCTTCAAGGTCAAGTGGCATTGGCATTTCAGTATCAACCTGAAAAGAAAAAACGTCCTGATTGTATAGTGGTCCTGGCCCGAAGCGAATAACAGAGTCAAGTTCAGTCTAGTGCAAAACCACACCATATTCTTCCATAGTGATTATGCACGTGCCTTGTAAAGTGGGCAGGGCAAAGGCAAGGAAATACTAGTCTGGCTTGAGAGAATAAGTCAGGTCTATATAGCGGTAAAGCGGTACCTGGTGTTGTGCTAAGAAGTGACTTTGAGGAGGAGATGATAACATGAACGGCACATTTGCTAGTTGGTCTATCACTGGTACTCGAGGTCTCTTCCACGCTAGACTGCCTTCTTCTCCACACAGATCGCCATTTTCCCTCTTCTGCTTCTTTCCTCTGCCCTCTCCGGCCGTCCCCGATCTGTGAGACTTTCTCTTCTTGCTAGCCGGTGGTCCCTCTTCCCCCGAACTCCTCCCACTCACCGTCACACCTCCTCCTTCACCCTCCTCACTGCTTTCAGTCAACACCCCCTCCTCCTCCTCTTCGTCAATCCCTGACAGCCAGCTACCACTAGTAATAGTTGATTGACTTCTACAGAACTCGCAGTCTCCATCCTCACAACACACGTCGAAATCTTCCCGCGCAGGGGAGTTTGGGGTAAATCGAGGCGTAGGATTTCTGTGGATGTAGTGACTCGAGCAGTGCATTTTCTCCAGTTCTGCTGAGGTTCTTAGCATCGGGTTCGGACACGACACATATCGAGATTGATTTCCATCGCTGTGTGGCTCCGGCTGGATTGGGTATCTCGACTCTGCTCGACTCTCCTGGAGAACTGCATACGACACGATACTTCTATTCTCTTTGACCAAACCGTAAAAAACGTCCAATTCCGTCCAATCCGCCGAGATTACAGTTGCTTCGTCTTTTTCAGGTAGCTCGAATCGCTTCCAAGACCCTTCGATATCTAGGAGTTGAGTAGAACTGCCTTCCCCCTCCCTGCTCTTTCTTTTCCTGCCAGAGTTTCTACCATAGTTTAATACCAGTTGGAACACATCTCTACCATCGCTACCCAGACACCACAGACAACTATCTCCAGAAGTCACGGAAGTGAATGTGTTAGTCTTAGACCCACTCTTCCTCCAACCCAAGATATTTAAGAGTGAAAGTGATTGATTTTTAGCAGCAGGTGGCCCGTCTGTCAATTTTCTCCATTTTAGATCCTGAGAGGGACTAGATGTGAGGTTGGGACAGATGTGGACTTCGCCGCTTGAGGGAGACAAGAGAAAGAGATTGTCCCGGGAGTCAAGAGTGAACATTTGGTGAGTCTCAACAGCCTCGCAGGAAGGGACGCTGTCCCAGTGCGGGAGAAAGACGGAGCCGCTGGACGAGAGGTCCAGGGAATCCGCCATAAACAGCTGGTCTTTGCTGGTTCGTCGAACAATGCAATCTCGACCCACTGAGAGGTCACGTGCGTCGCACAGAGCTTTGGTCCAGGCCGTGCCGAGAGGATTGTCGTACGTGACGCCCCGCCTGATGTAGAGTATCTTGTCTCTCTTGGCGCACACGAGGCCACCGGCTCCGCACACGACGCGGTCGAAACGGCCGTCGACCGTGTCCCTCGTCGTCCAGTTGTCAGCGTGCGGGGTGGTCCCCGCGCCATGAAGGACTTCGTTGGAGCGCACGGAGCTCAGCCAGGCCCCCACGTCCTGCAGGACGTAGACAGAACCTTCACTGTTGACGGCCCAGAGCTGGGTCGAGGTGGAAGAGTTGGAAAACGAGTTGGAAGCCATCTTGAGAGCAGCATAGCGAGCTATGTAGTTCAAAGGTCGACTCGCGCGTTCGCAACTCGAGTCCTCGCGAGCGCTCAGACTAGTCTCCGCCCCTCCAGTCATGAGAGCGGACTACGCGAGCCACCTAGTGCGCTCTCCCATCGTCTTCGAGCTCTTCCTATTCTCCTACCTCATCTCTGCCCTCTGTCTTCAGAACGTCAATATCTACAAGACGGTTAGCGACATTCGTTTAGTGCGCTCTAATTAGAATAGACGCCTCCCACAGAATGCGTATCTCGTGGACTACAACTTGGTGCTGTTCACGGTGGCCGTCCTACTCCGTAGACCCGCTCTGTGTGCCCTTATGCAGTTGCAGACCCACCTCATGCAGGTAAATCATGTTACAAATTGTGGGGAAAGAGGAACATGTATAGGGTACTGTTGTGTAGAGCTGAAGTGGCTCCCTACCTCGATGCAACACTTCAGGGTACTTCTGTAGTTTAGTGAACTATATCTTATTGAGTGGTCACTATAGTATCAGAGATTTGTTGTGATGATGTCGTAGGGAAGGGGGAGGAGGACTGGACTGAGGCACTGGCTGCAGTTGAGGAAGGTTCTTGTTGTGGTGGCCACTGTCCTAGTCATCGTTTGGTCGGCCATCAAACTAATCAGCAACACTTCTCTCTTTAACCTTCTCTTCCTCTTCTACCCGTTAGTTCATACACCTCTGAGTAATGCAAACCTTGGCCTTTATTAGAGTTAATGTAAGCACTAAGCTATTAGTTTGAGACAGAATCAAGTGTTCTTTAATAAAGCGGTGTCCTTTTCCGAGGTTTTTACTGCGTTCGGTTCTTCCATAATGTGTGTTGAGCTTCAGAATGGGGTAAACATAACTGGTGTTCCATTTCTCATTCTCCTCTTAGCATAAGCCAGTTTCAAAAATATTCTCATTTGCGTGTTACAGTAATGGGTCAACATTTTAATGTATGTCTCTTTCACTGCGTAGACTCCTCCTCTATCTGTCTCTGTTTGGGTTCACAATGGAGCCTCGGGTCCACCGGGCTAAATTCCAGCCCCCCAGGGGATTCATGGACGACGCCGAGGGCCGAAAGACCCCCCGGAAGATATTTGTCCCCCTACCGATCCCGGCGAATCCGCAGACCCTGGGACCGATGTTTGTCCTGCAGGGACGAGGCCCCAATTCCGAAACCTCCTGGCAATTTTCTCAGCCGATGAGCGAGGAAGAAATGTCTGCATACGAGAAATCTCGCGACGGCCCGCCGCCGAGATTTGAACTCAAGTACACCTGGGAGTACACGCTGTTGCTTCATGCGGACCCGGAGGAGGTGAGGAGGGAGGTCGAAGTTCTGATATCGGATCTGATCGTGAGGCTGAAACAGCTGCTGTTCAACTCCCTGTTCTGTGCCTACTACGTCGGGTTCATCCCCATGCAATTTGCCGATGTGAGTCCAACTAGACATCTGCATGCACTTCAATATTAAACTAGGAAGAAAAACTGCACGGTTGTAGATATAATTATACCCTGCCTGCGTTCTTTGCAAAGACTTATTACAGAGAACCTTTTATGGCAAAGAAACTGAGAAATACTATTTCATTTTTAGTGTGCTGCAGTAGCTGGCCAGCCACATTAGTGAAGTCCTTTCGCAAACCTTTTTAAAAGCGATTTGTGTGAGGAATAGTTTGTCACGTCATTTTTAGATAACGTATGTCAAATTGCGAACAGAACCTTACCCCTCCACCAGAGTCGACTGTACTATGACAAGTGGTGGTGTATGGAGCATGCGTTCTTGGTGTGGGCCAACTCATTTGTGATCCTCAGCACCCATCTCCTCCCTCCCTCCTACTGCCAGCTCCTCTTCCAGTGCTCCATGAACCTTGGCTGCTGGGCCAGATGCACCCACAGTGACACTCACAACGTGTATGTTACCTGCACAGACCACCATATTATTTTGAATGTTGTGGTATAAAACATAAGGGTTAAATAATTATAGAAATGGTGAAGGAATGCAATTGTTTTTAGTAACAGTTTGCTGGTTGTATACTCCCACCTTTTGAAAAGCTAAATAAACAAGACAAGTACTATAATGTTGAGGCCGACAATGGTTTTCAACACTCTGTCTAGTCTAACATTTCCCCCAGAATTTTCAACGCAATAAAAGATTGTGTCCTGAGGCATGCGTGCCCAAGGACGGTCCGTTTTACTTGTACTTGCAGTGCCAGCCTGTTCCTATTGCGATGGATAATCTGCTCCACCCCCACCCCCTCTAGATGGTCCCCAGACATGGTGTGGCCGTGTGAGGCAGTGGTCCAATGGAACGGAGAGTCATTCAAGGGGGAGGGACCACAGAATGTCTCCATTCCTTGCAATTCCTCTCAGGAATTCTTCTACGTATGTCGCTCCACCGCTAACTCATACTTCTTAACCCATAGAATTTATGTCACTGAAAATCCTTCTTGAAACATGAGAATGTCAAATGTATGGACATAATGCAGGACAACCTGTGTCATCCCTAGTACTACTGTACTTAGTGATAGTCTCACTTTAGTATCCTTTTTGGACACATTAGAATGATTGTCCTTCTGCAAATACACTCCCACCACACAACTTTGCAAACTTTGTAACTGTTAAGCCATTTATCTTTGGCATATTTCAGCACTGTATCAATCAGTCCATGTCTCTGATCTCTCCCTCAGTTTTTCTTCAGCTCCAGACATCACGTCTACACCTGGCTGCTGGCCATGCAGTGTGTCCTCATAGCATTCCAGATTGTCGTACTCCTGCGCTGCGTGCTTTGGTACCAGTTCCTGAGTCTCTCGGTCTTCCTTACCTTCAACAGCTACATCTTCTACGTCCTGCTCTACAACAGACTTCGCTGCAGGCAGACCAGACTCATTACATGACGTGACTACTCTGTACTAGTCATTGATATTATCTCTTTTTTATGGTACTCAAGTTCTTCTCGCAGTTGAGGATGCAAAGCTGCAAAGCTGCAAAGCTGCATAGTTCGTGTTATTACAGTCGTGTGCAGTACGTTGACACCCTTATTTAGGGGGGACAGCAAAATTCGCGATAAGGATAGGTGCAGTGAGATATAAGACGGTACCATTCCATACTCCGACTGTAGTAAAAGTATTAAGGATAGGGATAGGTGCAGTGAGATATAAGACGGTACCATTCCATACTCCGACTGTAGTCAAAGTATTAAGGATAGTTGGTTTGTCTCTTCTTCTACTAATGTGTCTACAAAAAATGCTAAATCGTCGACACGCTCAGGTAGGGGAGGACGCCAAATTTGGGCGAGAGACAGGGATAGGTGCAGTGAGATATAAGACGGTACCATTCCATACTCCGACTGTAGTCAAAGTATTAAGGATAGTTGGTTTGTCTCTTCTTCTACTAATGTGTCTACAAAAAATGCTAAATCGTTGACACGCTCAGGTAGGGGAGGACACCAAATTTGGGCGAGACTGGGATAGGTGCAGCGAGATATATAATTTATAGGATGGTACCATTCCATACTCCGACTGTAGTCAAAGTATTAAGGATAGTTGGTTTGTCTCTTCTTCTACTCTTGTGTCTACAAAAAATGCTAAATCGTTGACACACTCAGGTAGGGGAGGACGCCAAATTTGGGCGAGACTGGGATAGGTGCAGTGAGATAGAACACGGTGCCATTCCATACTCCAACTGTAGTCAAAGTATTAACGATAGTTGGTTTGTCTCTTCTTCTACTCATGTGTCTACAAAAAATGCGAAATCGTTGACACCTTTATATAGCGAAATTTGGGCGAGATAGGAACAAGTGCTGCAAAGTAGAAGATGGTACCATTCCATACTCCAATGTCAAAGTATTAAGGATAGTTGGTTTGTATCTTCTTCCATGGAAACTCATCTTTTCCCAGACAACAATACAGCATTGCAATTACAATACAGGTTTATTAGTTACGAGACAGCGAGAGTTAGTTCCGGCTGTATGATAACAGAGAGCTAGTTGCTCTGACTGATCTGTTCTTTTAGTTTCAATATGCTGTTTCTCTGGTCCGGAGGCAGCATCTGTATCTGCTCGTCACTCAGACTCAACACTTGCATTATGAGAGCAGCCTTTGGTCGAGGGGGGGAGAGGGGTAGTGAGGCAGTGGAGAAAGGAAGGAAGGAACAAGAGGAGGAAAAGAGGAAAAGAAATGAAGCAAAAGGATGAGAGGATTATTACCGCAATAGAGACAGCGATATACACTTTTTGAGTTATCTTTTGGAGGTGTGGTGGCTCTGAGAAGAGCCAGGTGAGGGGGGGAAAAAGGAAAAACCTAGGCCCTCTCGCTCAAAACAAGAGGAGATGCCATGGGTGGCATTTTTTGTGCAGGCTGAGGAAATTGTTGGAGGTGCGAAAGTGATAACTATTACAGCACAACTTTTGCAAGCCTTGGCACTCACAAAACACCGTGAGCACCGTGAGCAACGTGGTGTGAAAATCTTTGTAGAGTGGAATAAGTTTACCTTCTCCTGGTCCTGAGGAGTCAGACCACCCATGTTGCCAGGAGCAGAGGGTCCAGGACGGTCGGAACGAGGGGGGCTCCTCGGTCCCCCTCGTGGAGGGCCAGAATCAGGGGGTCCTCGCATGGAACGGGGACCAGAATCAGGGGGTCCTCTCATTGTGCGGGGTCCAGAATCAGGGTGTCCTCGCATTGGGTGGGGACCAGAATCAGGGTGTCCTCGCATTGTGCGGGGTCCAGAGTCAGGGGGCCCTCGCATTGGGCGGGGTCCAGAATCAGGGGGTCCTCGCATTGGGCGGGGACCAGAATCAGGGGGTCCTCGATTTGGACCGGGACCCATTGGACCCCCTCCGTATCGTCCTGGTGGCTAACAGACAGACAATAAAGTGGCAGATGATTTCATAAAAATTGTCACCCTCGAAACTTTATTGTTAAGCTTGTCATTATGTCTAGACTTCATGTATCAGGAGAGCATTAACGTAGTTACTTACTGGTTGGTGTCCTGGGGGAGGACCCTACAACAATGAAAGTGACAGAATCCAAAGAGAAGAGGTATAACTAGCTCACCCTGTGTGGAGGAGGACCTCGGGCCCCTGGTGGTGGACCCCCGCCAAACCTCTCCCTCTCGTCTCTCCTCGGTGGAGGTGGAGGGGGCTCGTGCGGGGGGCCAAAATGTTCCCTCGGGGGTCCGAAACCCGGTTCCACTGGACTGTCTGCAGCAGAAAGAGATAGGAGAGAGAAAGTTTAAGGCACCCTATTTTCCACAGTCGCTCTAAACTATTAGCGCTGCACTCTCCAGGTATAGTCAAGGTATTCAGGACGGTTGATTGGCATGTCCTTCCTCCCACTTGCTTGATAAAAGTACGAATAATTAAGGCAACCTTATTTTCCCCAAAGAAATATGTATTTGCACTGCACACTCCAGCTATAGTCGAGGTATTCAGGATAGTTAGTTGGCCTGTCTTTCCCCCTTTTGCTTGCTAAAAAATATGACAGGCAATAGTAGAGATGGTTAATTGACATGCCCCCACTTTGATAAATATACAAAACAGAAGTCATTATTGAGGATATCTATTTTAACCAAACTCTTCAGCTATAAGCATTTAGGTTTGAAGGAGGAGAAAGGAGGAAAAGGGACCTTGTCGTCTGGGAGGTGGGGGAGACGGGCGACGTTGGTGAGGGTGGGGAGGACGGTGAGGAGCAGGTGGCCCCTGCTGGTGCTGGTGGGGAGGAGGGGGAGGTTGTGAGGGTCCAGCCTCAGCTGGCTGCGGGTCAAGAGAAGGACCTCTCGGCTCTCGGTGGAGAATCTTCTGGGCCGTTTCCAGGTCTACAATCCTCATGACAACCTGAACAGAATTACAATTTGTTCTAGAACATTCTGAGAACAGTAATAGCTAGCGAAGCGAGCCTACCTGCCGTGACTCTCGCGTTTGCTCACCAAAAATGTGCTGCATTCGTTCTAATGTATATACCTGAGCCTGTAGCAGGGCGTATGCCAGCTGAGGGTTATGCAGCAGAAGCTGCCTGGTCTCCTCTGGATTCCTCTCAATGCACCACTTCATCTGCTTCATCAGCTCAAACATCTGCTCCGGGGGGAGACTGGCCACTGCCTTGGTGATGGCCTCCGGGGCTGCTTCTGGTGGGACGGCTGGTCCGTGTAATGGAGGCTGGGGAGGGAGAGGGAAAATATACATAGCACGGTGAGTATATACTGAGCTTAGAAAAAGACAACAATTTGACAACTAGCTTACATACCTCAATAGCACCTCCTTGTGGACCAGGGGGCACGTTTCCTAAAGAAACAACAAGAATAAAGATAATACTCTGTCCCATCGTCACACCCACTACCCCAATTAGAGCACACCTAGTCCCCATTCCATATTTTGGTAAACCCTTACCCCTCTCTTATGACCCACTTGTCCCCTTATGTTTCCCCTTTCTCCTGATAAGATACAACTATACTCACTCGTTACTCTTCCCCATAATTAGAAACATACACTCACCGGGTCCCCTCATTTCCCCCCCGGGGGCATTAGTGGCGGAGTCAATCCTGAGGGGTCGTCCGTTGACCTCTCTACCAGTGAGGTTCCTCACTGCACTCCTGGCCGTCTCTCCATCCTCAAACTCACAGAATCCGAACCCCCTCGGTCGACCCGTCGTCGGATCGTGGATCAACCTGCGAATAAATGGAACATTACGTAATGACGATGTAATGGTGATTTTTGTCTCTCACTTGAGGCTGACGACAGGACCTACTTCAGAGAGGACGGCTTTCAACTGCTCTTCCGTTGTCTCGAATGACACGTTAGCCACTGGAAATGGGTGAAAAATATGATATATTTTTACAGCGGGAGTTGCTGGGAGTTTGTGTTTTATGTACGCTGAAGCATATAATAAATTCATTGTCTAGACTTTCAGGTGCACCTATTTCTTTAAGGACGTTTACAAATCACCCTACTGCCATAGAAGTGTGTAGCTACGGAATTTCGTCGTGAAAAAACGTACCAAAAATAGATCTGACGGCTTTCTCCCACGCGGGGTCTTCATTGGGAGGAAAGTCTCGTCGGAAACCCTGCATTTGTCCCCGCGGTGGACCTCTGGGGCCGTGCTGCATCGCTTCTCCTCTCGCCTACTGACAGATGAGACTAGAGCCAGCACAGCTACAGTTAGGCCTCGTGGGTCAGCCCGCCGTTTATTCTTATTGGAGCGCACCCCCAGGTTGAAACAACTCTAAAAGGTGCGCACCAACGGGTAAAAAGCGAAGGAGGTGGACACAATGGGAAGGTGAAGGGATTTACTGTGTTTGTGTGTACGATAGAGCATTTTATGCAGTCAGCTATAGAGTGGCGTAAGCTTACCTGTCTTCTTCGTCTCCGTAGCGATAAAAGCCTAGCATTACGTCACTGTATTCATCTTGGGCCCCGTTTCTCCCCCTTCGGTGGTGTTCGGCTGCCCGCCTCCCGCCCTCCCCCCGTGCAGGGAGAAGGCCAGGAAGAAGGGAGAGAGGAGGGAAGGGAGAAAGAGGAGACACTCGCGGAAGGAGGAGAGCGAGTCGGAGAGCAGCGATGAAGACGTCAGTTCAGAGTGAGTTCTCAATTTGATGAAGTTCTACAATCTGTACTACGTAGCTTCTTCATTGGAGTTCAGGGTTTTGTACAAAAAGAGTGGAAGACTTTAGTTTCAAAAAGTCTTGTAGAATTCCCTCCATTTTAAAAAGTTACAAGTTGGGTGGGGTAGCTCCGTATAGTATCTCTATCACAATTGATCAACTGATTATATTTCCCAATTAACGCTCCCTGAAGTTGAGTGTCTGGTGTATATATAATGTCCAGAGAGATAACGAGGGACCAAACTCCTACTTTTAGCATGTCAGGCACTTCTCTCTACACAAATCGTATCATCGTACCAAAAAAATGCTTTATCCGAAAAAAAATGTTTCTCAGTAATTATTGACTACACTGATGATGGTGTTAGATCATCCTCTGAGAGTGGGGAAGAGAGTGAGACAGAGAGCTCCAGTACCAGTGAGGAGGAGAGGGAGAGGAGGAGGAGGAAGAGGAAGAAGATGAAGAAGAGGAGAAGTAGCGAAGGAAGCAGCAGCAAACACAAGTAAGCTATATACCTGTAAATGACACATTGGACTGGAAATCCAGCAAGAAAGTAGTTTTAAAAGTTTTGTGTTTGCACGCAGAAGCTATATACACTTCCCACGGTTTACCTTGTGTTTCTTGCTGTATATCATAATTATGTAGGAATATTTTTGTTTAAAAGTGAAATTTGCAGCCTGTTAAAATTTTTACGGACCGTGAAATTTTTACGCCTTATATACACAGAAGTAAATCAAAGAAAGAGCCCAAAAAGCACAAGACTCACAAGAAAAAGAAGAAAATCAAGAACTTTGGTAAGTTTTATACATTCTTAAAAAACTGCAAATTACGATACTGTCCGATTTGCAGAAGAGATATCGATCGAAGACTATTTCAAAAAGAGTGTGGAGCTCAGAACCTGGCTTTCTGATGAGGTAAAGCTCCCAGTGTGATGGTTACTGTACCAGAGTACCAAATGTTTTATTTTACGTGGATAACTGCGACAATATTGCACCCCCTAATTTTGAAATCTAGCGGTTGAAATTATCTATCAAAGGTGCGCTGGTCCATGAAAAATTTACCCGGGAAGCTGTATTTTCTGTATTTTGTCTATATTTTTTGCTGCAGAGAAAGATATTCTTTAGTGATCTGACGTCGCAGCAATCACACAATCTCTTCAAAGAGTTTGTAAAGGAGTGGAACGAACAGGCCTTGCCTAAGGTGTGCACGAATATAGTCGTGCTTATCCCATCCCTCCCCTCTCCCTCTCTCTATCAGAAATACTACAACGGTCTTCCGAGTGCCACTTTGGAGCATGGAAAACAGACTGGTCATGTTTGGAAGGTGTGTAGGCAGTCACATGACCTCTAGCTTATGTCATGTGACTCGGAGATAATGTCATGCTGTCGTTCTAGTTCTCCCGGTCACTGGGGAAGGACGAGCTGAAAGGAGTGAGAAAGAGCGTGTCTTCGTGGACGGCCGGGGACGATGCTGAGTTGGGCGGGGCAGAGGGTGGAGCATCGCAAATTGGGCCACGCCTACCATCGGCTCCCTCGACCAGTAGTGGAGTATTGAGGAGTCCAATGATAGGACCAATCATTGGGCCTTCACTTCCTGTAAGTCAACCACCCAAAAGTACAACTGTCAATTGTATAGTGAGTGGGAAGTTTTGCGGCACAATAGTGGGTGGCTAATGTTTTAAGCACAACATTTTGGTGCATACGTTAAGTTTCATTAGCTATATACACACTAAAGAATTGTGTTGTGTATTCAGGGAGGGAGTGTTGCCATGGAGACGACCCCCGACCCCCACGTGGCAGAGGAGAGGTGGAGGGAGGAGGGGGAGAGGGTGAAGAGGGGGAGGAGGGAGATGAGGAAGCAACAGGAGCTGGTCATGGAGGAGCTCCTGCCCAAGGCCACGGGGAAGGAGGCGAGGTTTGAGAAGAAGAGAATGCGTGCCGAGAAGAGGAGAGGGCGGGAGATTAGTCCCGGTTAGTGTAGGGGTGTGGCCTGTTGTCATGGTGATGTAATCACCAATGTGTCTCCCTCCTCTAGATGTGGCTGAATCTACTCTAATGGGACCAAAGTAAGTGTTTGTGCATCCACACACACACGCACACACATTTTACTGCCATGCATAGATTTTCCATTGCTGATGATTTTTTGTGGGATTGATATATATATGAAACTGGTCATTCTTTTCTGCAGAGTTGACATACATCGGAAGATTCAGAACAGGCAGACTCAGAGGTAGGCCTTGATAAATTATGCTAGCATAATTTTGAGAATAATGTATGATTTGAATGAGCATATTTTATCAGGCCACCCGAGTGAAGATTATAGATGATATGTAAACTAATTGGTACCTGGGAGAAATGATCACTCTCTTTGTGGTGATGTAATGTGTGTGTGTGTGTAGGCAGAACAGAGCGCATGCAGCTGCAGACAGAGTGGCCGAGATTCAAGCCAAGGAGAAGTCGAGGATGCAGGTATGTATGTACAGTACATACTATACTTATACTCAGGGGTTTACTTGGTGAGTGGTTATATAGTGTGACTTTCATGAAAACACTAAAGTTTAGTTCCCTGCTGCAGTCACTGGCCAACAGCATTAGCAGAGGGTTTTTTCTTCACGAAAAATAGCTTCTCAGTGATTCCCCAAAAATTTTGTTATACATGAGTACGTAAACAAATCTTTGATTTATGCCGTTGAGACAGCAGCGTGGTGTGATGTGTTGTTAATTCACTGCAGGCACTGATGGAAATGGCCAGAGCTAACAAGAAAGAAGGCTCACTGTGGTAGCATAATATATACTTATAATACTGCTAACAGAACACACCACACTTTTTGCACTGTTGATTTTTCCATCTCAAGTGGTCTGGATTGAAACATAATAATCACACTGAATTTGATAGTACAAATGTACATAGTTAGACCAGCAAACTACATACAAATACATCCGGAGAGTTCCATCTCTATTTGTGTTTGTGCGACTTTCTCTTCTTCAATGAGGACGGTTGTAGTCTGTCTCTCCTGTCGTCCCGGCGAGAGCTGGTCTTGGAGAACTCTGCCTCCTGACTGACGGACGAGGCGTGGGACTGAGCATCGCTGTTCTCTTCGACCGAGTCGTTGAGAGAGACGTCCTCATGGTCCAGGGAGTGTGGGAGAGAGATGCGGGGATTGTTGGCCTGAGGTGGGGTTGGAGAAATGTATAATTATTGCTCAGACCTTTTCAAACACGGTCTGAACGCAACAGTAAAATTATACAAATTCAAGGTTTTTCGTTGAGGTGAGGATGGGGTGTGTGGGAGAAAACGGTTTACTGTGAGCTGATGAGACTTCATCATTGTGGACATCCAGTTTCTCTTAGTTACATGGAGGACACACATGGGTAATATACATAGCTGCTTGTTCAATCACCAAGGAGGAGAAAGGGGGGAGGGGGTTAAAAGCCAAAGCTGCACTACAGGTGGGACCTAAAGAGAGAGCTCATGGGTAACATACATAGCTGCTTGTTCATCAAAGAGAGGAGGAGGAGAAAGGTAGAGAGGGGGGCGGAGGGGGTTAAAAGCCACTACAGGTGGGACCTAAAGAGGGAGCTCATGGGTAACATACATAGCTGCTTGTTCATCAAAGAGAGGAGGAGGAGAGAAAGGTTAGAGAGCGGGCGGAGAGTAGGGTTAAAAGCCAAAGCTGCACTACAGGTGGGACTAAAGAGAGAGCTCTGGGTAACATACATAGCTGCTTGTTCATCAAAGAGAGGAGGCGAGAAGGTATGAGAGGGGGGCGGGAGTTGTTAAAGCAATAGCTGCACTACAGGTGGGACCTAAAGAGAGAGCTCTGGGTAACATACATAGCTGCTTGTTCATCAAAGAGAGGAGGAGGAGAAAGGTAGAGAGGGGGGCGGGGAGGGGGTTAAAAGCCACTACAGGTGGGACCTAAAGAGAGAGCTCATGGGTAACATACATAGCTGCTTGTTCATCAAAGAGAGGAGGAGGAGAAAGGTAGAGAGGGGGGCGGGGAGGGGGTTAAAAGCCACTACAGGTGGGACCTAAAGAGGGAGCTCATGGGTAACATACATAGCTGCTTGTTCATCAAAGAGAGGAGGAGGAGAAAGGTAGAGAGGGGGGCGGGGAGGGGGTTAAAAGCCACTACACATGGGTCCTAAAGAGGGAGCTCATGGGTAACATACATAGCTGCTTGTTCAGATCAATCATCAAAGAGGAGGAGAGAGGGGGGAGGGGGTTAAAAGCCAATAGCTGCACTTGCTGCGGTCAGCTCAATCATTACCAGTGATAGAGTATAAAGTGACGGAATGCAAGACATGGGCGGAGGAGGCAGTGAAATCGTATAATTACTCATTTACTGATTTAGGTCCTTTGCCACATTTCTTAGAGTTTTTCCATTCCGCGGCTGCATACAGTGTGTATAGCTGGCCCGGTTCTCCCACTTTCTCAGGCTACAGTCAGTTATCTCATTAGCCAGACACGCTGTTCATCAGACTTCTCGACAAGCATGTGGTCTCTCTTGCTTGTATAATTATGTCTCTCTTGTTGCTAGTATATCTACGTGCATTCCTGTCGCCCTGTGCCTGCCGCCGTCTCAACTTTTGATTTGCTTCACAGAATTTGGATTCTTATACAGTGTGCATTTACTGCTATATAGCCACGGTCTGCTCAAATTTTAATCTACCTGCATGATTTTGTAGTTCTGCAGTCCATTTCCTGCTATCTGCTAAGTAGTATCAAAGTTTTACGTTCGACAGCTCTAATCTCCTCTAATAGACGGTGCATTTCCATCCTTGTACATTATTATTATTACATTAGTATACTATGTAACAGCCATACATTTGATCCATAGAGAGCTCCAGTTTGTCAAAATACGACAAACGAAACGGTGCTTGTCTTATGTATATACACCTCAAACATTAGCTGCAGGCTGGTTATGTATAGCCTGTCTGAATGCCGAGGTGGTGGCTAAACTCTCTAAAATGAATGACTCAGACATATTATTTTGAATTTCACACCGGTCTCCGCATTCCACAGCTCATAGGATGTTTTCGATCTTAACTAACACAATTAGCGTTGCAATCTTGCTCGTTGCAGCCTCAATTAGGCCAATTAAGGGCGACATCATTCCTAACGGTTCTGCTTTCATCATGCTCAAATTCCATGCGTAGACCGAACAGGAAATGCTATGGATCTACTCCTGGTATCTGTAGTACATTGCTGGAGGAATAATATGCATTATACAAGAATGATGGTCTAATGAGAGAGGTTAGAACGAGATGCATAGGTGGGAGTGAGATAGTGGGTCCTAAAGGATGGAGAGAGACGAAGGTTGGAACGAAGAGAGAGATGAAAGGTTGGAGTGAGAGTAGTTTAAAATAAGAAAGTGGGAATTGGGAGCAAGGGAGCAAGTTAGGGGAAGAGAGAGAGTGAGATACAGTGGGTGCGAAAAGGTGGAGTAAAGGAAGTAGTAACAGAAAGTAAAGGTGTTGAACGAGATAGCAGGAGAAAACGCGAAAGCGTGTTGGTGGTAGTGGTATTGTAAAGACAAGGCGTGTGCATGACCAAACTAACTTGAGTATGCAAAGACACATACACAATAAGCATAGGTTATCCTATTATTTGTACGGGGAAGGCCTGCTACCAGGCTGCACAGTGACTCTATTAGTCATGCATATCCATACACTATGCATACGTGTACTGTATGCAAAGGGTGGTGGCTTACTAAGATGTGTGTGTGGGTGTTATTCGGCAGAGATGAGTGTAGGTAGTCAGATATCTCCCATGTAAGGTAGCCCCACGAGGCCGTGGTGTTGCTGGGAGGACGAATGGAATGCACACAGGATTGCTGGCTTGGCTCTTCAACAAACACCCCAACAATGCATCCGGTTTTCATCAGGGACTGTGAATTCGCGGGAGAAAACGACAAGCTTGACACAGGGCTTTGCCCTCTCCACGTTGTATTGTTTAGTGTAGAGCTCACTGCCCCTCTTTCTGTGCTACGCTCTGCATGCTGCTAGGTGTACATAATTGCAGAGCACTATAAATCACGTCACGGCACAGGCTGTGTGAGATATTGTCAAAGTCGAACAACCAATATGTTGTGATGCACCATCTTGGACGGTAAAACGACTCCCGGCATCCATCGCCAGAGCATCTTGTGGGGCCTCCTAATGCGGAAGGCACTGATTGAAACTCAGTGGTCGGTAAGACTCCCGGCATCCATCGCCAGCCCTTGTGGCTAATGGAGAAGCACTGGTCTCTGTTGTGAAACCATTGTGGTAAGACTCCCGGCATCCATCGCCACAGCCCTTGTTTTGGCCTAATGGAGGAAGAGAAGGCACTGATTGAAACCATTGGGACGGTAAGACTCCCGGCTCCATCGCCAGCCTTGTGGCCTAAGGAGAAGGCACTTGAAACCATTGGACGGTAATTTAATAGTTAAGACTCCCGGCCATCCATTGCGCCCCACAGCCCTTGTGCCTAGGGAGAATCCTCAGAGCACTTGATGAAACCATTGGACGGTAAGACTCCGGCATCCATCGACCAGCCCTTGTGGCCTAATGGACGAAGGCACTGGTCTCCTAAACCAGGGATTGTGCGGTTCGCAGTCCCACCGTATCCTGTTTTTTTCTTTGTTAAAACTCGGTGTGCGGCTGTACATGTACGCCGAGCCATCCCCTTTTGTGTGTAATTGTGGTGGCACCTTAATACAGAAACAGGGAGGTGTGTTTAATCATGTTCAAGATTGTGGCACATAGAGAGCGCCATCACTGAGTATTACACGTGAATTTAGTTATATTATTTAATATTGTTAATAAAATTTGATTAAAATAAAAAAAAAAAATAATAATATAAAATAAAAATATTATAAAAATATAAAATAAATTTTAACATGTAAATTGTAAGGCGATAATTAAACAATACGCAAACACGTTACGAATTAATTGGCTTATTGGCAGATCAAACTCGACCCAGCCGTGGCTTTAAAGGGCTGTTTTAATTCATTTCAGTACACAGAGCGCGTGCTGAGGAAAGTGTGAAGAATACATTACATTAGGCATGCAAAGATTTACCAGAACAATATTATTATAGTACAGGCATGAAAAGAGTTAACATGTGGATAAGCCGTTTGCAAAGGGTTAACAGGCACATTATGATCACTAAGTACTGTTAGGGTTGACACAGCTTGTCCTCATTATGCCCAAAATTTGAGATTTGTACGTTACTACCAGGCAGGAAGCTGACCACCAGTGTGAAGTGACTGAGGAACGGGAGAGAGGACGGTCAGATGCCGAGATTTTCTTTCTCGATTTCTCTCGTTCTTGCTACTCCCGGACCTGTGGCATTGATACCACAGAGAGAGAGAGGGAGGAGAGGGAGACGAGAGAGGGAGTGAGAGTGGGGAGAGAGAGAGCGAGAGGGACAGACACCCCAGCGAGAGCGCCGAGTTGCGAGAGAGAGAGAGGCGAGAGAGAGAGAATGAGCGGGAGTTTCGTGTGAGAGAGAGAGGGAGAGAGACGAGAGCGAGAGAGAGAGCAGAGGGAGAGAGAGGTGAGCCGAGAGGAGAGAGGCAGAGGTGAGAGAGAGAAGAGGGATGATGCGACGAGAGAGATGAGGGGAGAAGAGCGGTAGAGAGAGGAGGGAGACGAGTAGCGAGAGAGAGAGGCCGGGAGAGAGAGGGAGTTTTGTTTCGAGAGGAGGGAGAGGGATGAGAGAGAGAGGGAGAGAGAGAGAGGGAGAGAGAGAGGCGGGAGATCAGTTGCATACAGAGCATAATTGTTAAAGTGTGTCGGACTATTATAATAGTCTTGTAGCCAGACAATCTGAAAAATTGGGCCTAAACTTTCCGTACTTTTAGCAAGAATGTGGAGAAAAGGACAGACCTATTGCAAGTCTGAATATCTTTAATAAGGTTTGGAGAGTGCAGTGAAGAATAGACTGCTGCGAAAGCCTTTAGCGGGAATGTCTTATCAAAATCAACCTTTGACCCTTTTGTTTATCCAACTTACTTGTTCTGAGACTGGTAGCCGTCCCAACCTCGTATGACGTTCCCGTACGTGAGTGTATCCTCGAGATAGCTGCCCTCGAAGGCGAATATCTGCCGCTCCAAGTTTGCAAGGCTTTCCTGAAAGGGAATCTAATTAACGCACACTCATACGAAAAAATGGCTACCGGTTGTTACATGCGGACGAGAACGGAGCTGTCTCACCGTTAGTTACACTCTTGTTCTTCTAGTTCCGTTGTTGTCTTTTTCAGTTTTTTCTTTTAGCTCGGCAAGTCGGCCTTCTGTGTGTCGGCTTGGCTTAGCACTCGCATCTTCTCTAAACCCCAGCCCCACTCCTTCCTTAGATTTGAATAATGTCCGCGTAGCTCAGGGTTAAATTACTCGCGTGTACTCCCCACGCACGGAATTAAAGCAGCTTGGAGCAAGTTGAGTAGTGGGTTCTGCAATTGCGTCAGGCAAGCCGCCAAGGTCAGACTGAGGGCGGCTGCTCTTCGCGGAAAAGAGGTGCGAACTCGCAGCTAGTGCAATCAGCTAGAGGTGAATAAACGGCATTGTGGATATTACCAGTTGCCCTTTGACCCGCAGAGTCTAGCCACTAGACTAGCATTTGGGCTCATACTAATGACATAAATTTACCCCATGATTAGCATTAGAGGTCTGGTGGAGCAGAAGTTTTGCTTCATTTATCTTAAAGTCCTGATATGTCAGAGTTCCCAACCTTTAGTGACCTCAGCAGGATACTATAAAATGTACTGCACATGTTCCCAGCGGGCATGCTAGTTCGATATGAGTAGTGTGTCTGCACCAGATCCTGCTTGTCCTCACATATCGGAAGCAGAAAGCAGGCAGCTTCGTGCAGCCTCATGTGTCGGCTATTGGCTATATCCCACACATGCAAACTGCATTCACCCAAAGAAGGGTTCACGTTGTGGTTGTATTCACATATTTACCCCAAACACTCTTACAAATTACATACGTGGGTCCATATGTGATGATATTATACTCTTAACGATATTCTACTTCTATAATAACAGTGGATATGTTATCCATAGCGTTGTAATTATCTGTTTGTATTGCTACTGAAATGGCGGGTCACGTTCACATGTTCGTAGTGTACCCGAGGAATGCACATTGGTGTGTGGTGATTGGAATAGTTTGGTATTTTGGTTGGTGTTTAGGTCTATTGTTCAGAAAGGGCAATGGAATCTCTTCTCTGCTCTTGATCTTTGTCGAGAATCGCGTGATGTTGTTCATTCCTCTCGAAGATGCGACAATAGGTCAGTATTCATAATATAGTGTGCAGATAACTTTACCGGAGCCTTCGAAATGCTGCTACGTATATGAGATGTAGCCTGTATAGATAATGTACTCACTAGCAACAGAGTAATAAATATTCATGTTTCATAACATAGACATTCTATATCTTCTACTTGGCTCTCTAAACGGAAAGCGTATCCATCCATTGTCACGTTTCTCTGCAACATTCTTTTTGGCTGTTCAAAACAGACTGATTTGTGTGTGTGTGTTTTGGTAATAAAATGCAAGATATGCCCGTGCTCCATTTCTGCATCTCTCGCGCTCCTCTCAGTTTTTACTTTGTCGCTCGACTTTCTCAGTCTTGCACCTCTCCTCATCGTTATGTTCATCTTAAGTTTTCTAAATATTCCCATGCTCTCCTGCTTACGGTGATTCTCTATCTTCTCGCACACACACTTTGCACACTCCAGCGGCAACAACAACAACCACTCTGGCAGAAGATACGTCATACCGAAGCGTGACCTACCACTGCTGTCGAGACTAAAAAGACGTGTATCGACCTCATCTTGACCAAACCACAATGCTCAACGGGTGAGACCACTCTACTACCATACAACAGTGCTATAGTATAGTCTCACTAAGTACAGTAGTATATACTTAGTATCTAGGAGGCATGGTACCTGTGTGCAAGGTAGTGCACTAAGCCATATACGTCTAAAGAGAGATGTGATATATACAGTGTCGCATGGCTCATCTTCACTTCACGACACTGTCGGACGTGTCGCGAACACTCAGATGACTTCGTTGCCGTTGTCAGATAACCCTTCTTAACAGCTGGGTAATTATTACTCTGGACAAACTGGAGCGTTGAGCTCCTCAACAGCGGGTCTAGACCACTACGATAACATTAACACAGCGCAATGGCTCGAGGAAGGACGGAAACGGAAATGATTCAATGGATGGTGGAGAAAATAAAGGACATGGGGCTACTTACGCAGTTGTATGTCCTCTCTGCAAGACAAAGTTACCACATAATATGGACTTTCTTCGTGAACCAGTCAGAATAAATATGTTGCGTGCAGCTACATAGTCCGTAATTCTACAGATTTGCAAGGCACCATTGGAATCTGTTACCGGAAGTCGTTGGAAAATATGTTGCAAACATCTGCGGAATTTGAAAAATGGACAAGGTCAGAGTACTTTTAGCGGATGGAAAGAGAAGACCACCACAACACGAGACAAAAGGGCACACAGTGTGTGTGTGTGTGTGGTGTGTGTGGGTGTGTGCTCAGAATGTGTCGGTCTGTCTGTCTGTCGGTGTCTGTGTGGTGTGGGCTTATCTCCAGCCTGTTCGTCGTGTCAAAAATGCACGCGTCATTCCAGTCGCCACGTTCTCTCAGACAAAGCGTCTGCGCTGTGTCACAAGCCCTACTGTTGATAATCAGTTATAGTCAGTGTGAGCCATCCTTTGTATGGAGAGAGAGAGAGCGCCCTGAAAACGTGACGTGTGTACTGAGAATGTTGTAAACTGACAAGCGCTGTATAGATTTAGCGTTTTGGTCGTAACTTCGTTGCGAGTTGACACGTGTTGTTATGTACTAATGCTGCCAGGGGAGACCGTTACTTTGCCAGATATGGTTAATTACAAGCAAACAGCGAGAGCGCAGACCCCTGTCTGCAAAAGCACACTGGCAAGAGCCGTGCTGGCTACACCAGGGAAGCCAGCAGTCTTACTATCAAACTGATCTGGTATTATAGCAGGCTGTACACAATACGATGGCATGGCAGCTCTTTCAAGTCTTAGCTGATCTGGCAAGGCCTTTGCCTCTGAACTATACATACTACGTAGTTCTCTGAATGGAGTCTGTGGAATTCATGGGGTTAAGTACATATTCAACTCCAGGTATGGAAGAGGTTAAGTGTACTTGCTCATCCGCGAAATTTGAAAACTCTGTCACATGCCTGCATATTTGGTCTCTAACGTGATAACTACCCGCAGTATCTTGAAAATTAGGCAGACAAAGAGGAGCCATGTTATCTACGTATTTAACTATGGTATTTTTGGAATTTCTCTATTTAGCATGTAATGGTTGTGGTCTTCATTCTATCTGTTGTATATACTTTTTGTTATACTGTCGGTGATGATATATAATCATTCCATCTGGGTGTAAATTATTTTGTATACCTATCATTTTGCGTATTCTTTTTACCTGGAGTGTAAATTCATACACCGATTGTTTATACTGTCAGTGGTGTTCTATAAATCATACCATTATACCGTGGTATATATTACTTGATACACACACCGTCAGTGTTGTATTACACTGTATTAAATGTGGTATGTAAATGTAATCTGGTGTTATTAACCAGCGCATGCGCAGCGCGGGTTACAGTACTTGGTCTGTCTGTGTTCATGTATACTGTAGTGTTCGTGACATGCATGCCCAAACGCAATACCTTTGAGGTAGACTAGAGTACTATAGAGTACTCCATACATACACTCTCCAGTTATGCACACCGGTTCTGCTAGTCTTTGCATCCCGCGTTATCAATGGAATGTGTCCGTGTTTATCCACGCCGGGCGTTTGGTTTACGTGCCATGTTTTTCAATAGCTCCTTCAGTTTACTCACCGAAACGGATTGTTTTCTTTGCAGACACTGCCCGGAGAGAGCTGAATATAAACACCCTGAAACACATACTTTCATTTCTTTACTCGTTAATGTGTACATAATTATTATACAGTTGGTTCGCGGCCCCGCCCGCACAAGATTGCAGTCTGGACCGCTTTTCAATCAACGCGACAAAATGTCTGAAAAGAGTTTTTATCTGCAAGCATTAGATTGCCTCACTTCTGATATGGACATTTTCATCTGAAGAGAGAGGTTTTATTGAAACACGTGGGCTGAATGGCAGTGTGTATATATTATATATTATATATACAACCACTTGCTGGATATATAAAATAACGCACAAGCAATCGTGAATAGAAATTTTATATTTACCAAAAATGTGCCCATCTGACAATGAACCCCATACTAACCCCCAGGTCAGCTATCAGGGAGTTAAAGTCACAGCATGCATGGCATACTATAGGAAACTCCCATAGAGTAAATTGCTATGTATTATATATAGCTGGCCATTTGTCCTCGTGAAATCATTGCCAGACTGGCATACTCGGGATTGTGAGTGACATTCTTGAAATTCCTCACCTCTTATCAAAGTCTGTGTGACGCTAGTGCTACTGTAATAGCTGTATTGGACATAATGATGCAACAAGTGCTCTGCTATTACTCTGTGTGTATATTATAATGTATTGTGATCAAGGTTGCAAAGCAAGGCCAGGTGGCAGAGTACAATCGAACTGCACCCTGTAAAACGATTTTAAAGAGCTCTGCCCTTGGTTGGACTCGAACCCACGACACTCTGTTCTCTAGACAGAGTGCTGAGGTAGACACATACATACATACATACACCGAGGGATGGCATAGTTTACAAGCTAGACCCTCTCTCCCCGTGCGTGCTTTTTCACTCTCTCTCTCTCTCCCCTCCACCCACGCTGCATGCGCATGAAACTAACGTGCACAGAAAAGCATACACATACGTGTGGGAGAGAGGGTCTGGCTAAATATAGACTAACTTCAAGTCAATACACATTTACTGCTCAGGTATCATGAAACACATGGGGTCCTAAGACATGAAAATCTCAAATGTATGGGCATAATGCAGGACAGCCTGTGCCATCCCTATATGTATGGGCATAATGTAGGACAGCCTGTGCCATCCCTATATACTAAGTATAATACTACCGTACTTAGTGATTATCTGGGGATACTCCCTACTGGACAAGGTGTGACTAGTTTGT